GATGATGATTTACTGCTGATTAGAGAACCAAATGCGCATGACAATCGCATTCGATTAATCGTGCAGCCCTAATTTTAAACACAATATTCTGTTTTTGTTCAATTTTGCCAACGAAAATATTACCTATCCACCTTTTTCTTCAACGCTGAAGTAAGCCTATGGGTGAGACTTCCGGATCATTAACCGCTATAAGTAAATAACGAGGAGAATACCAACGTGCAGTAAACGGTAAAGCTGTTTGCGCTACAAACCAGTGTGTTCATAAATAAGATAATACATTAAAATAATATAAGACACACCAATTTTCGATATCAAGCAGCAAAACGAACTGTTTTGTTCAGCTAAAAATAGCTAGATGCAGATGAGACCGGAAGCCTGACCCATAGAATTTACAAATGGCCATGCCCATTTTTGCGACAAGAAAAAGGTGGATAAAGCCACAGCAGAACTGTTGTGTGTCTCCGAGCAACACAGCGGTGTTTAGTTTCTGAATGAATCCGCGTTTTGAACGAATCGTGTGAACCAATGATTCAAAGAGAGAGCCGTTTGAACGAATCAACTCATAAAGACTTTTACCGCCACCTGCTGGTAGTTTTAGTTTCTTCTTTAGAGTATCATTTCGTTTATTAAAATAAATTGAAATTTTTTTTTTTAACATTAAAGGGATCGTTCACCAAAAATAAATAAATTCTGTCATCATTTACTCACCCTTATGTTGTTTCAAACCTGAATGACTCACTTTCTTTTGCACAACATAAAAGAAGGTATTTTGAATAGCCTTGTGTTGGTAACTAAGCTGTTTTGGTCACTAGTGACTTTCATTGCATGAACAAAAAATACTGAGATGTTTCTCAAATTATCTTCTTTTATGTTCCATAATTTATGTTAGGCTGTTGTGGCCTAAAAATTGAACATGATAATAGCTTTAAATTATTTTTGGGGGTATTTTCACAGCCAAATTAATTTGCGATTAATTAGATTAATTAATTGCAGAACCCTGTAATTAATTAGATTTAAAAAAAATTAATCGACTGACAGCCCTAATATATATATATATATTTTTAAGTTTTTAAATGATGATTTCATTTATTAAGGGAAAAAAGCTGTCCAAACCTACGTGGCCCTACGTGAAAAATGAATTGCCCCCTCCTGTTAAATCATGAAAGAACTGCAATTAACCACATTATTTTAGAAAGCCGAGTTAAATTTCACTAGCCACACCCAGGCCTGATTCCGATCCATTCATCCATAGCACTATAGGATTATTCTGAGCCTGCCTTGACCGTGCCCAAAAATAGAAATTCAAATTGTGGTCATTCATCTAAAGAGCATTAACTCAGTGGAGTGTCATTTTCTCTCTGGTCATCTATTTGTTTTGTGTGCTGCTCATCTCCAGGCAGAAGAATTTAGCAGATGAACACCTCACTTGCATGGGGAGATTCTTGACAGAAAGAGGCCAGATAAAAAAAAAAACATGTTTTGGCGTTATTTTTTTTTGCCTCACTTTTACACTTTTTGTGTAAACTATATGGAAGCATCTGCTAAACATGTTAAAAATGATCAGATTCACGTTGGTTTTAAATCCACCAGTTGTGCCCTTTATGCTCCATATTTAGCAGCTTGTTTGTTACCACACTGTAACTGTTTTAAGTGATTTAATCGATTGCATTAGGCTTTTGTGCTTCTGTCAAGCCTTATACAAAATCTCCGAATTTGATAAGTTCTAAAGGTGACTGCTGAGGCAAATGTGGTGCAGCTCAGTGACAGCACAGAGGGACAGGTGCATCGTGGCTTATGGCAGCTGGTTGGGTGATCGATCACTGTAAGCTGATGGCAAACACACTGTTGTGCAGTGGAAATCTTCTTTCTACAAACCCCAGAGGAGCCTATTATTTACCCATCTGTCTCTCTTTGTTCTCCTTGCCACAGTTTCAATTTGTCTTTCAGCTCTCATGCGGCACCGTTATTGCATCTTTCGCTGCAAGCCAAGCTTGCCATCCTCTTTGCACATTTGGTTTCATGTCACAATCTTTAGGACCAGCCGTTCACATTGTCAAGTGCTGTCAGTGTGGAAAGAATAGATTGAAACCTGGGAATTTTGACATCTTGACCTCACAAGGTGCATGCATAAAAATATATATGCGTGAGGCATTTTACTCATGTAATGTGTCCAAAATTTCTGACTCGTTCAATATATAGTGAATGTCACATAGTTTACAGTGGGAAGGAGTTTGCAAAAAATAATTGAATTTGGATGGACACGAAGTTTTGCCCGAATCACAAACCTAATCCAACCATTCACACTGAAAGCATTTGAATCTGAATTCACACAACATGTGTTTGGATTTAGTTTGTAAACATTCAACCTATAAATGGCCGATGTTAAAATTCAATACAATGTTGTCAAAATAAATGAAAAACAAATTGGTAAAAACTATAAAGTAAATTGGTTTTAAATGCTACAAGCGAATTTAGGCATCACAACATTATAATGTACCACCAGTGTTATTGTTAAAGAGCAGGCCATATGGTATTTTAAAGTGTCCTAATATTGTGTTGAAGTCCTCTACAACAGGTTTAAATGCATCTAAGGTCAGAAAACATTGTAATTTTCTCAGAATATACATTTAATATTAGAGTCAGAGAGCTGTCAGGCAGGCGGGGATTATGTAAACGTGTTACCCAGTGACGTATACCGGTAACAGGCAAAAGATTCGAAAATATGATGACTCGTTAAGGCGATTCAAAATCGACTCTCTCTTTTGAGAGACAATATCTTTTATCGTGCACTTTTTTGATTAAAGGGGTCATATGATGCTGCTAAAAAGAACATTATTTTGTGTATTTGATGTAATGAAATGTGTTTATGCGGTTTAAAGTAAAAAAAACACATTATTTTCCACATACTGTACATTATTGTTTCTCCTCTATGCCCCCGCCTTTTTGAAACGCGTCGATTTTTACAAAGCTCATCGGTCTGAAAAAGCGAGGAGTGCTGTGATTGGCCAGCTATCCAGTGCGTTGTGATTGGCCGAATACCTCAAGCGTGAGACGGAAATGTTACGCCCCTCACCATACTGTTGTATTCCCTCAGCGACCAGCACGGATCAGCTCTAGGCATGA